AATAAGAATGACCAAGTTATTTGTTAAAGTTGTTTTAGCAATTTGTCTTTAATGAATGACAAAGATAAATCACCTAATTTCTGCCACAGAAATGAATAGGAGAATTTATTTCAATATAGTATTTTCAAAATAGCAACTAACTGAACTAATTTTATGTGAGATTTTTTTTTTTTCTGAGAGTTTTCAAAGTTTAGGCAAGAGAAATCCTTATCACCATTTTTTATCTTAGGGATTTTTTAAAAAAAAATATTCCAACATTTAAAACAAAGACTGGTATATAAGATGAATAAAATTTAATATAGCCTAAATTGATTAGGAATAAAGAAAAATTTTCACTTTCTTTCCCATTACATTTTACTTTTTTCTATTTTTAAGCAATAGGATATGTGTTTGGGTATTTGAGGGTCTGAAAGTATAATGTATCCTTCATTTTTATAAGTTCCTGAGTTCCTATATTTCTGTAAGCTGAAATCATTGCTTGTAGCTATATTCTAGCATCTCAAATTATTTAAAATACATTCATAAAAATGAGCCTTAATACGTTTAAAGTCTAATTACAATATTTCAAATAGCTATTGCCTCCAAATCAAATGTATGATTAGCAGTTCTTTGTGACATGTATGTATTCATGTACAATGAACATCTTATTTTTTATCTTTTATCATGAAATACTTACCAAGTAATGCTGCTTTCCCTTTCTGAGAGCTATGGTTCACCTACTGGACATGTGTTGTGCTGGTTGTTCAATGTCTTCTATGTATGTGGCAGGCACTTTCTAGAGCACCAGGGGAACCACAGTTACAGAAACCCACTTTAATGCAAGCTTACACCTCTTCTCCTAAATAAAATGCAACTTAGAAAAAACAGGATGATGTGCTTTATGATTTCTTATCTATTTCTCCTGATCTAACACTATGACTTGACTATAGCAGGTCCATAGTATGCTGATTTGATAGATATATGTCCCATTGTTCTTATTCAACATTTCTTATAAAAACATGTCTGGATTTTTTTTTTTAGACTCAAGCTTCATTTAATAATGACTTTCCTTATCTCTTTACCATGGTTTGTGTTTCCCCATCTTTCTATTTTACTTGTGTTTTCCCTTTTCTAATACTCAGCTCCGTACAATATTAAATATTGACTTTTGTGTGATTCTGATGCCACAGCAGCAAAAGCTAAGGGCAAGAGAGTAAGTAGAGACACACTGTTTTCCCCTTTCCAGGTGATAAATATCTAAGCACTGCATAGTTTCATTTTTAGGAGCCCTAATTTTATTCTCACCCTGGCTTCCATTCATAATTCTGTTGCATACTCACTAAGTTATTATCTCATGAAGTCTTAGTACATGCTGGTCACTAGAGATACAAGGGTATGAAACACAGGTTCCATCCTCAAGAAGCTCATACTCCTGAAAGAGACAACAAACTGACTAGTAATAAATACGATGACAGAGATGGAGTGGTTAGAGGAAATTTAGGAAGAGGACAATGCCTGACAAGAGTGCTTAATGGAAAGTAGGAGGATTGAGGGTAGAGAAGTAGAATGGGGAAAGACAAAGAAGAATCAGCATTTTTTTTTTTTTTAGGAAATTATCAACAATACTCATCAAAAATTATCAGTTACTGGTTGATGAAGCATGAATGTGAAGAAATGAAGCTGGAGGCCAACAAGAAGGGTCTCATGAGCCATGTTAAGGAGCATGGACATAGGGCATTGGAGGTCATGATCAGTCCCAAGAAGAGAGTGATATCACATTTGGGGCTTATACCAACAAATACGGTAGCCCTGTAATGGAATGCATTTGAGCTGGTTGAGATTAAAGCCAAAGAGAAAAGTCATTAATGAACTTCAGAAGCTGAGATAAAAGGTGCTGAGACCCTAAACTACAATATTTGAATAAATAAAAAGATTGATAATAAAGCAATTAAATAGTTGCAGGAATTAACAAAATGGTAGGTTTCTGTGTGGTTGCAGGTAAAACTGAAAATGGATTAATTTTCACTCACAATCAGTATAAATTATAGTATGGCAAGAGAAAGAATAATATACATGGTAGAGAAAAGTTTCCCATTATCTTCATTTTATATTACACTGAGAAATTTTTTCTTTTATCACAGACAACTATTTCACATTTAAAGGGGTAATTTCCTAGGAATCCTTTTTGCACTTGTTCTGTCAGGTTTCTGCTTTTCCTCATGAGATTTGATGCTAGAATCCTAACTTTTCCCTGCCTCTTTGGAATGGAGCCTTTGTTTTATCACATCTTCTTTATCTCTAATATTGTCTCTTGAATTACTTTATCTCTGTGTATGACTTGCCCTACTCTACATGTGAACTCTCAGAGAACACAACCTGATTTCAGTGTTCCAAGCTTCTTCCTTTTAGAGAAGAAGGTTTAGATTGAAAAAAAAAATAATGATAATCTGTATAATAGCAAAGAGATAAAGCAAACCATACTGGTAGTTTTTTAAAAAAATAAATAAATATTGCTTTCTTTTATAAAAAATACAGAAATTGTAAATTACATTCTACAAAGCAAAAAAAAAAAAAAAAAGATTTGTATGTTCTAATTTGAGGACAGAATGGTAAATTCAGCCACAAAAATATCAACAACAACTGGGCATAATGGCTCAAGTCTATAATCCCAGTGACCTTGCGGGCTGAAGCAGGAAGGTCCCAGCTTGAACCAGCCTGGGAAACATAGCCAGACTCTGTTGAAAAATAAAATAAATAAAAAGGATTGGGGACATGGCTTAATGGTAAAGTATGTGCCCTGCAGGCATAAAATTCTGATTTTGTTCCCTAGTACCACAAAAATAAAACTTAAAATAATTTTACATCAGTATCAGTAGCAGATATTTAGCTACGTTTATTTCCAAAGTCCTTAACTAATATTTTTACAGTTTTGTTTTAAAAGTACAAATAACTTTTAGTGGATGTAGAAAATTTAGAATGGTTAAAAAGCACAAAGATATCACTTGGGATAAAAATATTTGAATTATTTAATTTATGCTAAATGTGCCAGAAATTTTAAGAAACTTAAAAATTATTGACCAATGGTCCTTGTTTTTAAGGAAATTTCAAGACAGAGATGGAGAAAACAAAGGTGAAACACCAATGATAAAGGAAGTAGAATGGATATGTAGCACACAAAGGTTATAGAGTAAGTGCCTGGGACTCGAGAGAAAAGAACGGTTACATCCAGGCTGAAGTCTGATGAAAGAAGGCAGAAAGAAGGTGATAATATTTGAACTAGATTTTACCAACAGATAAGAAACATTTATGGAAAACATTTGACTCAAAGGTGAAAAATTATAATTGATTTTTGCAAAACAGCAAATTGCTCATTTTGGCTACAAGCTACTCAAGCCACTTTATAATACACAGGGCAACAACAGAAAGAAAGCTGGAAATTCAGCTGTAGTCAGAGTTCAGAGGGGCTGGAATATGAGCCTACAGACTCTGTATTTGACTTAATTTGTAATGCAAAGACTGAAAGTTTCTGAGCAAAGAAACGACCAGCCCATGTACATAAGAGATTATTCTAACAGTGATGTCTTAAACAGTAGTTGGAGAAAACAGACTAAGGTCTGGAAGACAAATAGTCCACGTGAGAGGAATAAGGTTAGTTCCATTTCGGTGAAGCAGGAAGCAAGGCACAGATGTGAGATGCATTACCAACGTCAATGGGTAACTAGATGTACAGAGCACAGAAGGAAAAGATTCAAAATAGGACTAAAGTTTTTACATTCCAAATAACTTGAGAGAATGACTAAAAAAGTTACAGAGAGATTTTAAAAGATAAATGCTTTAGTGATGTCAGATAATGACTTCATTACACAGCTTATTATATATGTGGTGCCAGGGGATACCATGAAGCTTTTAAGAAAATGGAGTTTATGGCAAGAACTTAGAGCTCAAATGTACAGAACTGAAGTGTGTAATGAAATAAATTAAAGTGAACAAATTCAGAGACAGAAAATGAAATGCCAACAGCTCAGTTAATGGTTCAATGTAAAAAGCCCAAAAAAGAGATTCAGCATGTGTGCTTTAATAGCTCCATAAAAAGTGCTACCAATGGCTCAAAGACAAAGCATTGGTGAACAACAGGTCATGGATAACTTTCAAAGCAAAGATGTAAACACCAATCACAATGCAGCAATTATGTGGAAATTATAGAGAAATTTGGTAATAAAAGAAAGCAGAGAGCAATGTAAGAAGTATAGCCTGCTGCATTCTCCTTCAGTCTTGTAGTGATCTGCATGTGCTGCGGACAGAAGGAAGGATTCCCGAGAGGGATGGGAGGAAAGTAATATGATAAGAAGTGGCTAATGATGTTGTGAAGTATTTTAACTAGGTTATAAGAAATAGATTGCTTTCAAGACTGGGGCTGTGGCTCAGTGGTAGAGTGCTTGCCTAGCATGTATGAGGCACTGGGTTCAATCCTCAGCACAACAAAATAAATAAATAAAATAAAGGTCCATTAACAACTAGGGGAAAAAATAAAAGAAATTCTTCAAAAAAAAAAAAAAGAAAAAGAAGAAAGAAATATATCGATTTCATAAGGTCAGCAGCTGTTGATCAGTGTCTACAAGACGATGAGAGAAAATGAAGATGGGAAGAGTAGAAACCAAAACAAAACGAAACAAAAATTTAAGATACATGAAAAGTTTTTGTAAGCATGAGATTGGGAAGGCACAGACAATGAAGCCATAAGAAAAAAATTGGGGGATCCAGGAAGACAGACAAAATACTCAGAGAATCATAGTTAGAAAAATCATTTTCAGGTACTTTTTTGTTAAAAATTGAAAGTTTTGTTTTTCTTTTTGGCTTTTGAATGAGAGAAAAATAAATGAGAATTAAGGTAAAAAAAGTCTTAGCATTTAGTTCCGGTTTTTATTTTGAGTGGTGTTATAACATAAACCAGAGGATTTCCAAAGAAAAGAAGAAATAAACAATGACAATACATCACAAAGATCGAGAACAATAAATCTTACCTCTCTCAGAGGATCATTAAGTTCATTGAGAATATTTTCTTCATCAAAGATTTTGCCTTGGTATCTGTGTTCATAGTAATCATGTATCTTCTGACGCATATCTGCTGGTAATTTATGGAAGGACATGTATTGTTCCACTTGCTTATACTGCAAAGCAAGGAAGAAGAAAATCAGAACACATTGTCAGGCTGTGAGAGAAATCATCACATTGCTTTCTTGTGCTATATTGAAAAACATTTGAATAACTGATGACAAAAGGAAGAACTCCGTTAAGAGCAGGGAACTCATGTACTAGGTTCTTATGTGCCTACTTGGTGTCACATACTGTGTCAGGCATTTTATTTAGGTAGCACAATAGAGTTCTGAAATGTGGAAAAGAGGCATGAAAGGACTTTAGAGTGAATTTAAGAGTGTGAGGACAAAAAGACCAGTGAAGGGACAAGAAGAAAAAAATAAGTAAAACAGGATGCTGCTTTTTTCTAGCTGAGTACTAAAAGAAATATAATATTGCTGCTTCATTCTTCAATTGAAGGAAAAAGAATCTTGTAACTTTGAAAAGTACAAAAGATTTTATTTTAAACCTTCCAACAAAATATCTGACCCTAATTAAATTTTGAATCTAAAGGCAGAGGGCTTGGCAGTTGTTTGCAAGTCATAGATGCTTAAGCAACTAAAGATGCCCAATAAAGTGCTCAAAATTAAGAAACAGGATATATCAGGCTTCCAATTTAGAGTTTAAGGGAATGTCAGGATGAGAGTAGCTCTGCATTATTTTATAACTGAAGGTTAATTTAGATATTTTATTCAAGCAATTAGTTCTTAAAGTTGATAGTTTATATGACTCTGGGAGAGGTTTCTTTGGGGGAAGGCAAATCTTCAGGCCTAAACTCAGAAACTAAGATCAGTGGCAGACCGACCTGTTCATATTTATACACACAGGCACGTACACAATCTTTTAAAAAGTAACATCTTTGCTAAACACACAGGATCATAGAAGAATGGGTATTACCTATGAGCTTAAATGAAGAGAAGAATTTCAGGCCTTACCCCAGACATACATAATCAGAATCTAAATCTTTAAAAAATCCCCAGGTAGATCATATACATATTAAAGTTTGAGAAATATTCCCTAGGTCTTTCTACCGCAGACAGTCATAAGGCCACACTTTGAAAACAAGGAATGTAAACCTAAAAATTACTAATGATAGAATGGAGGAAAAATTTAAAAGTCTGTAATAAAACTGGATGAAGATACTGTAATGAGTATTCCTATAAATAGAACACAATTAATATATTTTATATGGAAAAATATCTAAGATCTTTTCTTGATAACAGAGTTTTGGCTAAAAGACCTAGGTCTCTTGATTCTTTGTCCAAGATTATGGTAATTGGGAAATGACAAAAATCAACATACTGTATTATATTTCTTCAATTTCTTCCTACAAATTTTTCTTTCATTTAAAAAACATATTGTTTGAAAATTCCTTTTTGTAGAATAGAACCCTCAAAGAAAATATCACTTTATCACAAGACTTGATTTGGTAACCATACTGTTGCCCTGGTATTTAAAGCTGGAAATCTAATGTATCTCTTAGAAGCAACTAGATTATAATATGGCAATTTGAATTTAGTCACCAAAGCATCACTGCCATTGTATATAAGTGGTTTCTAGTAAATACTTGAAAAAAATGCATTCATTTTCCCTGGAGAGCTCAAAAGACATACATCTATCTAGCTTTGGTAGCCTACTTCTAGAACCTGGGATTTTGTCTGCCTAGCTTCTCATGCAGCTGCTCCATATAAAATAGTTTCAGTGACTTTATCTATAAGCCTGCAATACAAGATAAAGTTGATATGTAACTGTATTATAAAGGCTCTGTCTTTATTTATGGAAATATCTATGCATTGGATACATAGATATTTCCATAAATGTACGCTTGGCCAAAAAGGATGTCAGTGGGATATGTAACACATGTTCAGAGTCTGAAACTCTACTGGAGACCCTCAAGGTTTGCTTCTGCACTAATAATTTGAAACTAGTTCACGAGGCTTGCTTAGATTGTCTTAACTGAAGATCTACAGTGAGCCACATTTGGGATCTCTTTGCAGAGAACATAGCTGAGCCAAGATTATTTGCAGAGACCTTAGCTGCTCATGAGAGAGACTCAGACAGCATATTCCTGTTGCCCCAAGATTGGGCCCACAGGAAACTGAAGACTCTTGGACCTGAATGCTTATCTCTATTAGCTTTCTCTTGCTCCATTTTGTTCTTTGACTTTAAATAAACATGTCTTGGGAGTATACTCTGTGGAGTCTGGTGACTCCTGCAAATATCTAATCTTGGGAAAACAACAAAACAGCTTAAGATTTCAGAACTGCAAAAATTCTGATATTCACTGGTATACCTCCTTGTACGTGTTTCAGTCCTAACAAAGGATTCGCCTTTCTTTGGGAGCAAATACAAAAATCTCTGCTTCCTTTCCACAACACACTGCTTTGCCCAACTGCTTGGAATAGTAAAATCTGTAAATTTAACTGATATGTTATGTTTTACATTTCCTCCTTCCTTTGCCATGCATCTCAAGAATATGGAGAGGCGGACTAAAACTTAGTAGTTTTTTTATTCATTTGGAGGCTCACTCATATAGGGAAAATATAATCTATTCAACATTCATCTCTGGAATTGGAAACATAATCCTTGAATAGCTAAATATAAACTATTTTATTTTTATAGAAAAACAGGGTTAATTGGGTCTAGTTATTTTTCCTCACATAAGTCATTTCACTTCTACACCTGTTTTACTAATCTATAATGAGAGGGTGTTAGATCCAATGATCTTCCTTGTTCTTTCAGATCAAAGTTGCAAACTTCTGTGAAAATTTCTAATGCTAGATTTGACTTTTGAGTATATATTACTTATTTTAACCATTTGTTAATGCATAGTAATTATTGATCTAACAAATATGAAATGATTTCTGTGTGATAATGGTTTTTAAACAGTTGTCAAGCTACCAGTTCCCTCTGGAACTTGTTAGAAATGCACAGTCCTTCATAGTCTCCAACCCAGACCCACTGAATCAGAAACTTTACATTTGGGACACAGCAGTCTGTGTCCTAACAGGCCCTCCATATACTGAAATTTCAAATCACTGCTACATGCCATGTATAGTGTTATCTTAGGACATCAGGAAGCACATTGTAGTCAGAGTAGGAAAAAAATAAATTCAGTTTTTGGCAAGTTAAGTATAAAATGCTCATGGCACATCCTCATGCTTATATGTAGGTCAGGCACTCAGAGGAGGAAATATGTACGTCATCAATGACTAAGGGAGCACTAAGGGACACTGTGTCAGATGAGGAAAAAAGAGTCAGAAACTGGAAGTAGCATGGGAAAGCAGGTGGGCCACAGAAGCTGATCAAGTTTAGAGTACTGATAATTATCATGAGTACCTGAGAGGAGAACCAGAAAACGTAATGAGCAGAACCTAAAGTGTCAAGGGGAATGATCAAAAAGTATGTATTCTAAGAAAAGAGGCACTGGACAGTGCCAACTAATTTGGAATTGAGGTAGAAATCTTTGTTAGAATAAAATACTTATAAAATACTTATAAAAACAGGGTGCTATTTCTTCCTGTTTCCTTCAAACCTCACAGAACTTGCAAAAATAAATGGAAGTCTCATTTCCGTGTATGATATGAAAAACTAACAATACAAACTACTTTTTTGAAGATGACACCTAGTGGTAGCTGGAAAATGAAACAAACCAGATGCTTGAAGTTGTACACAAACTGGAAAAGTTAAGAAGAAAAGAAAAGAAAAGAAAAAATAGCAACGTTTCCATTGTAGTCACAAAGCATGTGCAAAAGATTACTTGATACATTCAATAGTCACTGTTAAATAGATATTTAAAAGGAGAGATGAAAATAAATTTCTTTCTTAAACATAAGATCGAAAGTACAGCCCCTCAGAGCCAAAGGGACCATAAAACAATTACCATTTAAAATTCTGTTATACTTTTACTTTTTAATTTTCTGCATAATTGAGAAATATATGAAAGTAATGCATCACACGGTATTAAAAATGATCTAATGTGTGTTTCTAACTATCGTCCATTCTCAGATTGATCAGCCTGACCCAATATTCTTCTGTGTCTGTTTCTTATACAGATTTATGACAGGCATCATTCATTGACTTTTTGTCAAAAATTGGGATTTGGCCACATATAGTCTCTCAGATCTTCCTTTTTCATGCTATAATTGTGTCTCTGGTATTAATTCTTCCCTACTCTCCTTTGTAAATTTTTTTTTCTTTTTTGGTACCTGGGAATGAACCCAGGGGCACTTAACCACTCAGCCACATCCCCAGTCCATTTATCTATCTATCTATCTATCTATCTATCTATCTATCTATCTATCTATCTATCTATCTATCTATCTGAGGCAGGGTGTGTCTAAGTTACCTAGCGCCTTGCTAATTTGCTGAGGCTAGCTTTGAACTTGCTATTCTCCTGCCTTAGACCACTGAGTCACTGGGATTACTGAGGTGTGCCACCATGCCCAGCTTCCTTTGTAATTCCATGTAGTATATTTATTTCCATTTATAGTTCAGAGAACTTTAAACCGTTTATAATGAAAGTAACAAGTCCCTTCCTTCTCTTCCACTTTCTAACTTATTACTTCTACTTTAATGCTGTACATGTGGATTATGACTTTGCACTTCTAACTGAAATTTCCACACCCATAAACTACTTATATTTTCCAACCATGTAAATATTGACCACAATGCCAAATGGAGCATTTGATGGCATTTACTTTTGTTTCTTGGGCTTTTTAAAACCTTCATATTTCTTTTACAATTAGTTTTATTACAATTAGTATCACGTCTTTCAGCCTCCATATCCCAGTTAATAGACACTGAGATTTATTTAGAAATTTTCCTACAGATTTCATAAAAATGAAAAACAGTATGTTATATATAGTTACTGTTCAACTGATGAAATTCCAAGATTCTCAGCCCAGACCTCAAATCTATAAAATATGACACGTAAGAAATTAACTTTTTCTCTCAGGAAGCATGGAGCTACTGGACAGTAACCTGCTTCATGATTTCTCAAGACAGTTTTACACATAGCCCGTGTCCACAGTGC